ATTATACTCGCATCATATTTCAAATAATCTATTAATCTTCGAAACTAAGGACAAACTTTCGATCGAAAGAGGGAGTTGGACCAGCGTATCTCTCACAGCGGAGGCGATGAAAATGGTAGCACAGAGGGTGGCCTCGTTTTTGATGGTACCTCTTGAGGTCAGAAGTTTTGTATATTACTCAGCATTCTCGGATATATAATTATATCATCGTAACACTACTCTAAGAGCCGTAAATAAGCAATTCCAGTGCGTTGTATGAGAATATAATGTTTTCAATAGATATCTAGAAATCATAAGTCATGTTTTTAGTCACTGTAATAAACAGTAATCTATCTTCATTTTTCTGTACTTCACCAGAGAACCAAATTATCAGTGGTTTTTTCTTTTTTTCAACTTTATGTTTCTTAGATTAGCACAGTAATTTTACGGGCAATCATTTTTCTATGGTCAACACATACTGAATCGTTTCGGCACTATATTGCGCCCATATTCAATTGAGCACTCCTTTCAATTACGCGATTCTATAAGAACTTTTGTGAGATGGCATTTAGTTCTTCTCTCCTTTTTCTCTGAGTACTGAATGATAATGATAATGACTACTCCAAAAAGCCAGTGAGCTACGCCTTTTTCGTATCTCACGGAAAATATAGACTGATTTCGGTGCGCATAAATACTGCACACTAATGGCACTCTCCTTTAAGCGGTCCAGAATGTTTTAAGCCATCTGGCCTCGCCGAATCACAATGTGGCATTGAAATCAGTATTGATGTGGTAATCGCTGGTTAAGGCGCTGAAAACCGGTTTTTTAAGACCATCGCCTTGTTTTCCAGCTCACAAAAAGGGAAAGAATGCGCAGAAAGAGCTTGAGAAGCTTCAAAAATGATTTTAAAGGGGCGTAATTATCGTAAGGGCAACCTGTATATTGATTGTGTGCGTTCAAATAAGTTAACTAAGCTATTCCCGCGTTGTCAGTATGAGCGTGTTTCGTATCGATACAACAAATTTGAAGCACGATGACATTGTTTTTGGGTCATGCGTTCGTTTTCGTGAATATTTTAAATTGAAATCCTCTGTTCTGTTTAGTTGGCTCAATGTCATTTTTCCATGAATCCACCGAACTGTTCCAGCTATAAATATCGTTTCGTAGTTTAGTTGGTATCTTCCACGATATGAATCATCAAACGAAAGTACTTTTTGTTTATATGACGTATATCTTCTATCGCATGGACTACTGGTGTTTTGCAAACCACTCGGAATCGTCCATTAGCTTGGTCATTGGCAAGTGACTCCAGCGGTCATCAGTGAAGCTCTCATTGACTCTGCTGTTCACCACAGCTGAGCGTTTGCTCATACTGGTTACTTGAGGATACGAAACACAACATATCTTCTATAAAGCCAGTTATTCTTAGTGTCTTTTTTGTGTGAATCAGTACCATGGGATAACTTATTGGGCTTCGTAGAACCCTCTATTAATCTTGAGTGGTCGAATATACGTCTGCAGTCAGAGTAAATTTCTAGGATTTCTCACGAAATTTCCTCATCTTGTCTCTTTCAATATGTCTGCTTACTAATACATTATTTCAAGTTTCTTACATTTTGATGATAAAATCACAAAAGTCTCTCTGAACTTCGTTTATAAGGAAATTCTCTCTCATATCAACGAATTCCATCATCGAAGTTGTTAAGACGTCTTTGATGCGTAAAAATTATAGCGTAATTTTACAGTTCATTCTTGTGAACTCAGTGCGATTGACTCTCTTATGAAAGACTCAGTGTGAGATTCACATAAGACGATGAGTGCGTGAAGAAGCTGTTTTGCTTCCCAGGCGATTGAATTTAATTTTCGCGGATATTCAGTCATATTCATGAAGGTATTCAGCTGAGTAGATCAGTCAACTTAACCTTTCCAGACTCTGACGAAATCGAAATCCCCCAAGTCAGCTACTGCAAGTAAAGAGCACAATAACAATATCGTGTGTGCTCATCAAGAACATTGATCATTGCCGATGTTACTAAAAGCCGGTCCTGGGAATCTAGTGGTGAAACTTCTCTTAATAGAATAATCATAAGAAATTTTTGAAAAGACTGACTGTATTAGTAAGCCCATCTTCAAGTTACATGTTCACGTGGTATCCAATATTCTTTTTTCCCCATGGAAGACTCCTTGTAAATTACACTTCGTTGCTGGACCTCAGCCCAAAACAATGTTGTTTATAAAATTACTGAAAATTATTCTTTCTTGTTTTCCTTGCTATTCCAGTGCAATTTTATGTGTTATAACTTACTAAATTGATCGATCAACTTCTTCCACCATGTGATATAAAAAGCAGAAATTTCTGCTCTGTTCTGGATACTGGCAGGTTGTACCACAAACGAACAGATGATAAAGCTTACGACTTGATAAATCTTTGAAAGACCCGCTATGCATTCGTCTCATCTAGCGTCGTTAGAGGTGACTAGATGCATATCTGGCCTTTACAGCGACTCGCGGGGGCCTGCCGATGTGTAGGGCAAGGCTCCTACTTCCCAAACAAGTTCGGTAAGGTTGTCATCGACCCCAGAGAGATGGAAGGCTTGATGAATTTGAGCTCGGAATCGAAACCACCGACCATCGACAGACTGATCGCATGTATGGAGCACCTGTAACCACTTCGCCACACACGTTCCATTGCAGCATACAGTAAACTTTTAACAGTCAGATAATCTTTGAACACAAGTTTGGTCAATTTACTCCTCAGAGCGATAAAATGACAATGCATAATGAAAGACATTCTGAAAGAATAGCTTCTCGACACTGTACCGATGTTGCATGATTAGTCACCTTCACCTAAAGACCTCGAAGAATAAACGATATCTCAAAATTGAACTGATATGAACAAGTCGTCCTCAAGACATTTTGAAATAAACGTTCTCCGAGTGTTTATTCGGCTAACGTCTTTATTTGACTATTCGTTCGTTCTCGTTGTGGTCTTCGTGTTCGTTTTGTTCGAGTCAAATCATTCTCGTTAGTCACTGCTCAAATGAAAAACCTCACTCGGCGATGCCTCTATATACAGGACGATTGATCATGAGACTGATTGTTCACTGACAACATTCTTTTTTCAACGGACAATCATTCTATAGAAGTCGATGGAATTATTGACTTGGACAAAGCGTAAAAAAAGGGATAAAGCTCTCGGCGTCGATTAATCCTGACGGATGCGCCATGCGTTCGCCTCCAATTTTCAACTTCGTTTGAGGTCATTGAATGCATATGCAGCCTCTCCAGTGGCTCATGCTCGCCACCACTGCGTCCCGTCAGTGCTGCTTATCTTCCCAAACATGTCTGAGACGAGTATGGTACCAACTTGGCGACGTCGGAGGGATGGGGATGACTTGGTGAGACATGAGTGCAAGTCTGAACCATCGACCTTATGTGCAATGCAAACCACCTCTAACCAATGAGCCACGTAAAACTCCTTGAAAAAAGCGCAATAATAATAATAATTTGTAAATCGACTTTCTTCAAACTACACCTGTATAATTTCTTCATAATATGTCAACCCTAAACGAGTGTTGTCACAGTTCAGAAATTAAAAAAGAAAAGAACCCAGAAGAAGGCGAATTTGTTAACAAAGATTGGCCATTGAGTTTCAAAAACAACGTGATAAAAACCTCTCTATCAATGGCCAACGACCCGCACTGAGCTCTACTTGTAACACAGAGGGGAGACATATGTGGTGATAGCACAACGTGAATGTATGTGTTATCATCACTTTTCAGTCGATGGATTGGGCAGTAGATACAAATTGATCCATCTCATCGACTGTTTTCTAAAAACTGCTATATACATTCGATATAGTCTGGAGAATCACCACATAAGTCTCCCGTCGCTACTACAAAGTAGGGCTCAGTGTGGGGCGTAGGCCCTCTGATGGAGGGGGCGATACCTCCACGAGCACGTGGCTATGACTGTGACGTAACAATCTCGATGAGGCTTGAAACATTTTTACGGACTATTTGGAATGTTTATAGCGAGCGTAAAAAAACAGTCGATGAGATGGATTAAAAAACCTCTCTTCACTTTGGGACAAGGAGTGGGGATATGAGTGAGAAGCCGTGGCCACTTGAAGCTCTCCGAAAGTGGAAGCTGACATTTCCCCAAGGTGGATCGATCGTCCAAGGCGAAAATGAAGCGATGTTGGGGGTGAACCTGACCCATCCATCCACTTGGGCCAGCAGTCACCCGCGCCGTGTGTGTCAACCTCAAATTAGTGCTTGGACGACGAGCGACGACGACGATCGGGGCAGGCACACCACCAACAGCAACAGCACCAGCAGCAGCAGACTATGGGGCCGTTCATCGATCGACATCGCGGGTTGTGGTGGGCGCCCTCTTTGCCTATGCCTATTTCCCGATCTGGCCACCCATCCCCCCGTGATCTTTTGATCTTATCCATCAATCATTGCGGGTTTTTTTTCCGCAGGAGGAAAAAATGGTCCACCATTCGACTAAGTTTTGTCTGTCCTCTTCTACTTTTCCACATAAACTTCTTATCTATTCTTTTCGGTCTAAGATTTGACAAGTATTCAATGCGTAATATTTGAAGAAACACCAATCAATATCAGCATCATCTTCAGCCCTACTTATCGCTCTGAAATAGCGTTCAAAAGTGGAGGTTACTGTAGTTTGTAAGAAGTTGTTTCAAAGCCTTTAAAGGTTGGTATACGTCAAGAGTCACATACGTACGCTCTCGCGGCGCTGATCACCTACTTCATCAGTGGCCCACGCCCCACACTGTGAACTCTACATCGTAGCAACGGATGGGGAGAGGTGACAGTAACGAGGGAGTCGTAGTTATGCGAAGTTAATCTCCTATTGAATGACTCCTAAACTTCATTGCAGCCACCCACTTATTAGGCCTAAAAATGTTGGAGGGTTATTTTCTAACAAATTAGCGATATATGTATGATAAACAGATTTGATGCGCTGCAGCGTAGAAAGAGTGGTGGCAAAATAGGCGTCGGTAGCGCAATTGGTTAAACGCGCCGCCCCCGGAACGGGTGTTGCTGGTTCGAGTCCCGCCCGACGTCAAAACTTTGCACATCACTCAACATTATCGGGTATATTTGAAATTGGTGATATTTTGTGGTTTTTCTGGCGTTCTATTATGCTTTTTTTTTCTTCGATTATATCTATTCTTCACCTGCTTTCTTACTGGACTATTTTGAATTATGTATTGCCCGTAAAAACACTGAGAAGACGTATAATAAAGTGCCTAGGAAAAGTTATGGCCTGCCTTCCTTAAGCAATGCTGCCCGTATCATTTTTTATTACGAATTGTGTGGAATGCAGTCGCATTGTGTGGAATGTTGTCGTGTTTCCCAGGCCTTTTTTTTACCAGTTAGAGCTTTTCCGCGAGACTATTAGTAATCATTAGATAGCTTGAGAACTGGAGATTTTAGTACTTGAATTTCTTTTCTAAGAAAATCTCCATATTACGCTTCAATAACGAAAAGACATTGGATTGCAATCTGCGGCATCATTTTTGGCAAACAAGCAATGTTTTGTAATTGCTCTGACATGCTTCAACCAAAAATGGCCTTCGTGAAGTCTTTTCATTCCTAATCCCATATTTTGCTTTGATAAAATATATAAATGACGAAAAAAGTATGTATCATTGCGAACTACAATAATGGGAAGATTATGTGCTCCAATCATAAGTCGATCGCGGCATCAACGGTGGTCCCCAAAGGGTTATTAGGCGCGCTGAAACATATTCCCTTTCCATCTTGAGCTTCAACGAAAATGATTCACTATCAAATATTCACCATCATAAGATTACATAACCTTCATGATTTCTTAAATTCCAGCTTTCATAGCAGTGATTGTTGTTAAAGCATAATCAAGAGTGTTGAGTGGCATACAAAGCTCGTAGCCTCAGGCACGATGTAGAACTCGCGTTTTAGCCATACCGCGAGCGCGTACTACCACTGCGCCACCGAGACTACCGCTCTGATTAAGTGCTTGGATTTTAATACCTGGAGGGGTTTTATCTTGTTTCTTATCTTGATTTTTACATATCCCATCATCACATCTACTTTGGTGTGTGAGTACCAGCGCTTCTTGCGTTCATCCCCCACAAACGCTTCCGCATATTTCGCGTGTTGCTTCGACTGCTTCTTGAAGATTTTGTCTCGTTATCCATGGATTGCTAGTCGACACGATTCCGTGCTCAATTCGGGGTTAGTCGAGATACGCCGTTCCCATGTGGACTAGGTGGAGAGCGTTAGAAGTGGGGGCGAACCTTGATTTTTGAGCGTCTATCGGATCCACCATTCTATCCGCCATCCCCACTCTGTGAGTCCATTAAACTTGCTTGTATACTTGGACGTCCCATCATCACTAATAGTGCGGTCCTCATCACAGGGAAAACCTGTTGGTTTGACTGTTTCGTCCTCTTGAGTCCCGAGATAAGCCTAGCCGCGGCTTCCATAACATTTTTTGGGCTCGTTGTTTTCTGTGATTTTCATAATCCTCTGACACTCTTCTGATATCCTAAAAATGCAGGTAAAAATAACATCGAGCCATACGTCGGTTTTTTTTGAGTTATCTACTACAAGGAGCGCATGTGGCGCAGTGGTAGAGTGCCTGCGTCGCCACGAGTCATGGTTCGATCTCGCGCTCATGGCCACCAAACCCATCCCCCGGGGTCGTAAATTGCTACCAAAAGGTCTCAGATTGTCTGGGAGGATAAGCAGCACTGATCGGTTCAGCGGAGCCCGCGAGTCATTGTAAAGGCCAGATATGCGATTCATGGCGATTCTTTCAGGGATTGATCAACGCCGAGAGCTTTCTTTTTATCTTACTACGATCGGAAACGTTGTGGCCGATAAGCGGTTTTTTACGCTTGTCTTACAACACTTAATTGTCTGATAACATATTTTAAGCTTTCCATAAGGTGTGTTATGTCACCTCTAGTGCTAGACATTTGTTTCGATGTGTTCTAGCAAACGTTATCAGTAGCACGGTTAGCCTTTCGGTTCAGCCATTTCCCCACATATAAGGAAATCGATGCCGAACATCTTAGTCTTGGACTGTGCGCCAGGTGAAAAGATCACTTGACATGTAGTGACAGTCGATTCAGTGGTCTGTTAGACCGTTTGAATGAGTAGATCTGATCAGTTCCGTTTCATTTCACCTTCACTTTTGGAGATTCCGATGTTAACCTCAACCAGTCTTCTTCCTGCTCACCTCCGCATATAATCTATTCATTACGTTGACTTGCTAAAGCCTTGTAATCATTTACATATTCGGTACATTCCATTTCCATCTTTGCTGGAATTCAATGAATAGGAAATTGTGAAGAGATCCATTTGACATGATGAATGTTTTTCATTATCTTTGATTTTCAAGAAGTCGTGAGTGTCAACATTCGTCATGCCTTGAATCTTCTAAAGGCAAAATCTGTGTGACACTAGCAACTTCTTTGTTTTGGCATGGCTTTCTTGAAACCGCCATTAGTTAAGTTATTGTTTTGTTCTTGACCACTTGGCAAAGATGTCCAAATCTTACACAGTACGAATGCGACCTTCTCGTGAGCTTCAAAAACGATGTGGTAGTTTGTGATGAAATTCGGAAGGTAAGTAAATGATTGAATTGTCATTAAGAATTTGATTGAGGTACGATTGATGAGATCTTAATACGACTATGATAGTTGAAACAACGCCAATGCTTCTCAATGAACACTAGAAAAATATTTGGAATAGCAAATCATTTTCAAAAGTGTTTGCGCATCTCTTATGAAAACTTGTTATACACTGTATGCTGCAATAAATATAATTTTCTAATAATAGACTATAATTTTTCTGTAGAGTGTGGTCGGAACTGCTAGTCGTCGGTTTTGTAATATTCATCAAATATCTGAAAAAAAAGGAATAATGGAATGAGTTCGTCAATGGAGTACCAGATCTGTACAGAAGCGGGCGCCAACACGTATTTACTGCGAGACAGACGAGAGAGGGAGAGATGTGAGCTAATAACAACTCACATCATTGTCAAACACTCAAGCAGATACGAGGCTGTTATTGAGAAGATTTATTCCAGACAATACTGACTGGTGTATCACAGATCTCGCTTAAAGGCCTTGTATTTTGTTTATAGTGCGGTGTGTGTAGCTAGCTCGACAGCTATCAGGATGGTAACTCAAATTTGTCCTTTTGTTTGTTATTTTCATTTATTCACAATGAATTCCTTTCTTGATCTCTTCTATCGTTATTTATCTCATTCGAAAGCCCGTCGTTTCGAGATTCTAAGTATGTGAACCTTTCTATTTTTTATAACTATATAAAATTTTCTGTTTTTCTAAATAAACACTTCGAAAGCTTAAGTCGTGGACGTCTCTTGAGCTTCGCACTTGGGTCATTGTGTCTTCTAAGCGACACAAAACTATGCAGAGCACTTGACCACAAGGCAATTGTTCTGACGAACTACACAAAATGGTTTAAGAAGTTTTTTGATGCCGACGACACCAACATGCCAAAATCGGCTGCAACACTCTATCGAAGCAGCGTCAAGACAACGCTCGCCCCACATATTACTCGTCTAACATAGGATAAAGGATAAAGGACAAAGCTCTGGGCGTTGATCAATCCCTTAGGGATGCGCCATGCATTCGACTTCAATTTCTAACTTCGTTTGAGGTAATTGAATGCATATCTGGCCTTTACAATGACTCGCGGTGGCCTCCCGCTGAACCGAGTCAGTGCTGCTTATCCTCCCAGACAAGTCTGAGACCTGCCTGGTACCAATTTACCGACCCCGGAGGGATGGATGGCTTGGTGGGCCATGAGCGCGAGATCGAACCATTGACCTCGTGCGCGACGCAGGGCACCTCTAACCACTGCGCCACATGCGCTCGTCTAACATAGCAAAAATGGTTAAACAAGTAGAGAGAGAACGTTTATTTCATCCACCATCCATAGCCTAGTTGCTGCTTCCAAGTGATTACCATTTTCATCCTTGCAGCATTGCTTGGCAAGAAAACACTGCCAAGGACGATTATGTGATAAAGCACCTTTTTGAGTATTTTACTTCAAAAATGCCACAGTTCTATCGTTGAGGCATCGAGAATCACTCAAAATTTGTTAGAGCATTACTGATTCTGATAGTGACATACCTTAATCAAAAGTTTATTTGTTGGTGTTTGATAGATTGTTTTGTTAAAAAAAATTTCGATGCGTCAAAAACTTACCTGCCAATCTAATACTTTTCTCTCGAAAAGCACATTAAGTTGACTTTACCCTCGTCAGCCAACTACTTCCATAACTTCAACAGAATATCACGAAGCTTAAATTTCAATTTATTAGAATTAGAAGAGTTTCTTGACACACTCGTAGTTTTCCATGTCTTCCACTGAATGCGTCTTTTACGTGGTGATCAGTCGCATAGAGTGCTTCTCTCTCTTATCGAATATTGAAACGGATTCTCAGCATCTGTTCAACATTGCCGTAGGATATAAGAAACTTGGTACTGATAATTGATACTGGTACTGAACAATTTAGTTGAGATGATGTCGCTTTTTCGAACCCATTTTGCCAAACAATGGTTATTTTTACATAGCTGGGATCTAGTTAGGACCATGCCGATTAAAGTGAGACGTATTGATGCCTGCACTCTCGTTATACTACATTTCAAAAGTTCATGAATATGATTGGACATCTTTCTTGATCACGTGGCTCTTTTTTTTTTCAGCCTTAGAACTTGTTGGAGATGACTCTGGTAAAGAGTTTGTTGATGGGTTGTTATAGTCCGAAGTCGTGTAGACATCTAGTCTTGTAAATTATGGTCCTTGTCCAGGCAACGGAGGATGGGGTGGGCCGAACACGCAATGCGTTTTCAGCGATATCTGAGAGACGAAAGCGGTTCATCTACGGGATTCCTTGAAACGCTAGAGGCACCATAGAAAAGCCACCGACGCGATGGTCTGATTTCTTCACGAAAAGCCTAGAAAGAAGGCATGATGTGAAGGAATCCATACAGCGAAAAGGATCCTACAAGGCTACTTCTTGCAAGCGATAAGGAAGAACGGTATT